TGCAGCCTCAAAACAGTATCTGAAATCATAGCCACATTAGTCCCTATGTTACTTCCCGCACAAAGTTGTATTTGTACCTTGAGTTTAGAGTTTGTAGCTATAAAGATGTGACTGTGCATTAGGAACAGACCCACAGAGAGAGAGAGACATTCACGCTTATATATATATATACATATATATATATATATATAGACTAGCACTTGTGTAATATTTAAAATCTAATACATAACTAAGATACATTTCATACTTACACAACTAAAAAATGTTTATTAAACCCATCAACTGCTTTCACTTTAAAATCGTGTGACATAATTTGATATTTTCTGCATTGTCTTCAGGAATTAGTTAAAAGACGTTTGTTTTCAACAACGGTACTTTTTCTGTGTTATTAACATAACTCTTTGACCAACAATTACAATATGTTGCACCATTTGTCAGTGCAGTGACTTACTGGCCCTTCATCTTGGTTTAATAATTCTCTTTCTTTTTTAAAGTTTATTATTTTGAATGATTCTCAGATATTCAAAACTGTAAGATTGCAAGGTTGAGTTTTTTCACATAAAGTTGCTTTGTTTGCACATTTTCTGGTACAGCTGAATTTTTTATTTTTTGTTTCTTACATACCCTCTATGTTCCTGCAATCTATATTTTAAATTCCATATAAATATTACTACATCCACATTCTACTAAATAAATTTGTGTTTTATCTGTTAACTCTGTTTTTTCCCAATTTTTGTGCAATTTTATTCATAGGTTTAAAGATGGTATAAAATTTATTTTGCATCATAAAAACATTAAACTAGGAGTGTCTTTGATGGATTTATTAAACATTTTGTAATTATGTAAATATCAAATGTTGTATTTGAGTTAAACCTCATATTAATATTTAAAGTTGATGGGTAAAGTAGTTGTTGTTAGAACTTTGAGGTAACTTTGCAGTCTGATGTCACTTGCATACTGGTTGGCTAATATTAAAAGAATAGTGTGTGTGTGTGTTAAATAGCCAATAGGCTTCATCTGTACAATAATGAAGTATTCTCATTCTATCTGCTTCCACTGTTCTCTAAGTTGAAATTAATTTTCAAAATGTATAAACTTGTTGTATAAATTTGTGCCAGGGTGGTTGTTATACACCCAATACTAATGAATGTAAAAAAGAAAATACTGTGAATATTTTTCTTGATGAATAGCCTAATTTCCATGATACATAAAATTGTTAAATATACATTAGTTGAGACATACATTAATTGTGTATTAGAATCTTTGTAGATGATATATCAGAATATTATACATGCTTTGTTAGATCATCTGCTAATTGTTATTGATTCATATTTTCTATATATAGTTGATTTATTTTAATCAGAAAACTATAGTAAGTGATATTTCAAAGAATGAAAGGAAAATGTATCTTTTCCTTCAGACCTGATGGAAACCAAGCAAACTTGCGTAGTGCTGCTTATGAGGCATTAATGGAAATGGTTAAGAACAGTCCTAGTGATTGTTATATGTTTGTTCAGAAGACAACAATGATTATTCTAGAGAGACTTCAGCATGTGTTAGCTCTTGAAGGCCACATTCAAAACACCTCTGATAGAGTTCAGTACAATGATTTACAATCACTGCTGTGTGCCACCTTACAGGTTTGTTGTGAATGCCAGTCTTGTAATCTTTTTTTATTTGATACATAAGTTCTTGATTTTTTTATGAATACAATTTTTAAGTTATCTCTGTTATATATATATATATAATTTGAAATATTAATATTTATTTTTCTCAGTATACACTGCACTGTTGTTTGGCATTAAAGTAAGACCGATATGAAGGAGCAATTTTTTGTTAATTCTTTTGCTCAGAATAAATAATTGTATTTGAATTTTTAATGTGAATGTACAGGTTCATCCAATCAAATTTCATGAGCATGAAAGTATAATAAATGTGGGATAGTTGTTGCCTTATTACAAAAATTAATGTATGTAAAGTAAAAAAAAAACTACTTCCAGCCATTTAGTATATGGTTGATTAATGATGTGCTATCCACAAAAATGTCCAGGGATGTAATAATTAGAATAGGTGTATTTCAAGTCAAAAAATTATTAATTAGACTACTTTGTTTTTAAGTCAAAATCATCTTTTTGTGTTGGAAAAAGAAACAATGAAGAAAAATGTATTCTTTCTCATATCTCACATAGAAGGAGCTTGTTTACTTAACACATTACAACAAAAATTATCAGTTAGAAAAAAAAATCAGTTTTCTTCCCATAATTTTATCAAATATTTTAGATATTTATGAAACTTTTCTGTTTCTCTCTTCTTTATATTACTATGTATATCTTTAGAATCAGTGATTGCTATGAGTTCAGGTTGAATAAATGAGTTTGTAATGCATGTAAGTTGATTCCATATCAGATAGTTACTGTATTTGTTTGGTTTACAGAGTGTTTTAAGGAAAATGACATCTGAAGATGCTCCCAAAATATCTGATGCTATTATGACAGCTCTACTCCAAATGTTCAACTCAAGTAGCTGCAAATCTGGGGGTGTTCAGGAAGATGCCTTAATGGCAGTGTCCACATTGGTTGAAGGTTAATATATTATTAGCATTAGCAACTTTAAATTGATTTTAAAATGCATAAAAAATAAATAAATTTAACAGGTAGTACATTTCTTATTTGAAACAGTGATATAAAGTAGTTTTTAACAGTAACTATACAGGATCGGTCAAAATGACCAATCGTGTAACTAACAGGTAACTATGTAAGTATGCATATTCTGTTACAGTACATACCTCTTCTCATGTATATAGCTTTCCTCATTTAGTGCTGTCCTCTATATACAAAATATTTTTTGCATGCCACAAGCCTTGAACTCCCACATACCCCACGACCAATGTTGTTCAACTGCATCTTGTACATAAATCATCTTGAGAGAACTCTCCACCAATAGGAGTGCAACACCATCCTAATGCACGTGACTCCCTTTATTTGATTCTACAAAACTATCAATTCTCATTTGGCAGTACTTTAGTGTAGAAGTTTTTTGACTGTGGTCTCTTCAAGCATTTTTTTTTAATATTTCATATCAAGTGAAAATATTTTTTACTACAGTTTATATCTGCAGATTTACATGATAACTCATCTTTGTTTTTCTTTCTGTTTTTTCTCCAATTCTTCATCATTACATGATGAATTCCGAAGTTCATGTTACCACTTTGGTGGCTCTACCATCTACTACCAGTACAATTACATAGGCTTCAGGTCAGGAGAACTCAACTGAGCATCATTCAACAACCCTCCACCAATAAGAGTGTGACAAACTATCACTTCTCATTAGGCAGGGATAGAGTGCAGACATTTTTCACCTGTGCTCTTTTCACATGTTCATTTAATTTTTTTTTCAGTAGTGATTTACTTGATTTATTCATTTGCTACAATTATTCTTTTTGTAGTAATAGTTTGCTGCAATAACTTACCTTTATTTATTGATTTTTTTCTCATTTTCAACTTCTTCATGGTTTAAGATGAATTCCGAAGTTTGTGTTTCACAACTTCTGATATTATTACCTCTACTTCGAGTGCTTCAAGTCTGAGGGTGTCAACTGAGGGTTTTTAGGCTATCATTTGTTTGGAAATTGATCATTATCTGAGATGTTCTTTTTCTCCCAACATTGCCCAACCCTGTTCATGATGAGGAGGATTTTGACAGCTTTTTTCCTTCTTCTACCTATGTTGTGCCTTCCTATGCATCTCCTATGAGATTTACTAGGCCTAACTCTACCTTTTTAGATATGCTTTCTCAGATGTGTCTAACTATAACATATTTAGATAAGAAACATCTATAAGTGCTATAGTCGATCAAACAGCCAACCATATTCTAGTCAATTTCATGTTCTCTGTGATGACAACTTGGTGCTAAATTCAAAATAACCATAGTTAGATTATACTGTAATATGAGCTCTTTTTAATGGTTACACGTGTATGTAATGTCTACATGGAGACTAAAAAACTCAATAATTCTATTGAAAGTAGGTATGGCTGCTGTCAGGGGTTGAAAATATATATTACTTGTTCCAGCAGTATTCCTTCGGAGAACTTTGAAATGAAAGAGTCAAAAGGTTATCTAAACATCTCATTATCTAGACATACCTCTGCAGTATTGCCATTGTATTATTGAAGATATTGAGTGTCAAAGTAGAGAATTTTTCATATCTCATTGGTCACGTTACAGTACATTTGAAGTTTTAAGTAGTCTTTAAAAGATTATTCTGAAATATAGGACTTAAAACTAGGATAAAATAAAACTTAGAATCATAACACATATAATATTAAATTCATTCACGTACATTGATATTAAAGGTGAATGTAACATAGTGACTTGTGCAGAAAAACGTTTAATTGGGCTCCCATTGCAAAAGGGTTAATTTGAGGTGAAGACAGTGTGGACTCTCTTTGTACCAGGTGTCAGGGGTTCTCCTCCTGATATCACTTTGTTTTGTACAGTCTGTCATGCCCTAGCCAACTCTACACCTTGGAACATATCCATTTTAGCTTTTCCCACATTTCTGTCTGTAGATGGTTCTTCTACAGTCTTTCTTCTGTGTGATTGAGCTTCAAATATACTGTGGTTCAGATTCCAGTCCAACCAGTTTCCCCTCCCTTTTTTTGTTGTGCTCCTCCCACTTTCTGCCCATGTATGGAACATCTATTTCCACACTGGGTACAGAGTATACCTGGTACAGAAGTGGTGCAGTCTCCCACATGTGTTCCGATCCCAAGGGGTTTACACTTCATGGGTGTTCTTCAGACGCTTTCGAAGATACTTATTTCTATCCCTCGCACCAGTCACTCCATCTATTCAGTGTGGAATTCTAGGTATACGTGTGAGTGGAGGTAATGTACTGAATTGGAAATTGTTATTTTCCTATACCGAAAATAGATTTCCAATAGGTACTTACCACTTCTCGCACTTCCTCCTCTTCCCCATGCAAAACTGGTGCTTTCTTTTCTGCCTAATCTTGAAGTGATAGAGTTCAGTTGAATCAAGTGGAGGGAGTAGCATGCATCAGGTGGGTGTGTCGTGCTCCTATTGGTGGAGGGCTGTCTCATGATGATTTACATGCAAGATGGAGTTGAACAATGTTAATCGTGGGAGTGTAAGGTTTGTGGCATGCGAAAAACTTTTTGCATATAGAAAGTGGCACTGAATGAGAATAGCTATACATGTGAGGAGAGGTAAGTACCTATCAGAAATCTATTTTCAGTATAGGAAAATAAATAATTTTTATGTAGTGAGAGTATCTTCACATAGAAAGATATAGAAAGTGGCACTGAATGAGAATAGCTATACATGTGAGGAGAGGTAAGTACCTATCAGAAATCTATTTTCAGTATAGGAAAATAAATAATTTTTATGTAGTGAGAGTATCTTCACAAAATTTGGCAAGCTTCAATTCTGATACGGTACTTATCTCTTGTCTCAAGATTAGCTATTCTTGTTCTGTGCTGCCCTATATATGTGAACTTTTTCTTTATGCATACCACAAGCCTTTCACTCCCCTCCTGTTGGAATTACTATATTCCAACATGTCTCTCATTTAAATCATCATGCGTTATCTTTTAACCAATAGTAGCATGATATGCTCACTTGACGCATGTGACTCCCTCTACTGAAACTTCACTTCTTATTTAGCAGCGTTTGAGTACTCTTTTGTATGTCTAAATTATTTTTTTTCTCTCTCCTGATATTCGGGTACATGCCTTCACTTTATTGATTATATCTCCAGAAAACAAGATGCTTTTTCAATCGAAGTAGTTCCTTTTGACTTTATTTTATCTCATACTAGTTCATTCTTGTCACTCTATGTCTGCACTCGACTTTTGTAAACCTTTTCTTGTGCTATGAATTCCGAAGTTTACATTACCACTTCAGTGGTCACACCAATGTTCAGTGTTTTTCTCGGGCATCAGGTGCGGGCGAATTGATGGTGGATCTCTCTACTTTTATACATCAGGAGATTAAGTGCTACATGGGTTAACCTTTCGCCCTTGACATTACCCAGCCTCCTCTTGTGTCAGCTGATCTTGTGATGAAGACTTTGATCATTTTTTCCCACCTCCTGAGTTTGCTGTTCCTTCCCATTTACAGCCTAAAGAATCACCTAGGCCTAATTTAGTCTTTTTTATGGATTTTGTATCTCATGTTTGTGATGTTTTGTCTCTTTTCCCTTTCTCTTATTCTCCTCGTACTTTCTTGTTAAATGAACAAGCTTCCCAACCATTTTTGATTTTTCCTCTGTCTCCTGATATTCGGGTACATGCCTTCACTTTATTGATTATATCTCCAGAAAACAAGATGACTTCTTCTTAATCAGTGATAGCTTAACTCAGGAATATGTATAGTATAATTGGAAAATTCTATGCTAAGTTACACGGTTACATAGGTGTTGCAGAGAATGTAGAGATGGGCAGATTGGAGTGAAGAAGTGTCATGTGGTACAGAATGTAAATATTGAGCATTTATTTAAATATTTCCTTTTAAAATTAAGAAGTAAAACATACATAATATTGACATTTGAGGTGTAAGCTAGGTTTTAATTTGAAGTTTCTTCATATACATTGGTAACATAGTAGCTTTATTAAATTTTGAATGTAACTGTAGAGTGGTCCTGATAAGCACACTTTGACCAACCCGTGTTGAGTCGGTTAACTCCTAAAACTGTCATCTCATTCTGATATCTTGTATTTCAGCTACTGTGTATATTGTTTTATGAAGTAAATCTTTAAAGTGGGTGTATTTTGAAGTAAGTTATTTTATTAATAAAATGAAATTTTTCAATTTCTTGTTTCATATATTCATTTGTAAGATTTTGTACTTAACATCTCATGTTGAGTGTGGGTGCTTTGAGAATTTTTTAATGTGGATTTCTTTTTTTCTCTAGTTCTAGGTGAACAGTTTCTGAAGTATATGGAGGCTTTTAGGCCATTTTTGGCATTGGGATTAAAAAACCATGCAGAATATCAGGCAAGATTATTATAGTGTTAAAAGTGGTACTGTTAGAAAGCTCTGGATGGGATATTTTTTTGTAATGTTTTGGTAGTTTAAGCATGACTGATGTAGAAAGTTATGTTAATATTAAGTTTTTATTTTTTTTCCTTCTGTTTCTAGAAAATATTATTAATATTATTTGCTTGGCCATAGTAGTTTAATAATAGATAACAGTTCTTAATGCTAACTACTAATTAGTTACATGTAATTAAAGTGTCATGTTGGGTTTTAGATAACTATCTAATAAAAGTTTGTGCAAGTTTTATTAACTTTGTTGGTTAATAAAGGTAAACAAGTAAGTTATGATGACTTAACCTTATCCTAAATGTGTAGTTTTAATTATTTAGTTTTGATCCCAGATGAACCTGTCATAGGATTATTTTTAGGACATACCTTAGTCATACCTAAAGTATTAACAGAAAAAATATATAAATTCTAATTGCTGTCTTTCTCTTTGTTATTAAAAATAAAACTATGAGGAGGGTATATATTTCTTCTTATGGTTTCCATGGTAAATGTCAGGTCTAATAACCATACATCTTATTCTTTTGTGGTTATTAAATGTGGGATGCCATACTGCTTTATGGCAATAATCTTGATATTTTAAAATGGAAGTATAAGACTTGCCAAACTGTAGTTATTGGGAGAGAAACAAACCAGTAAGCAAATAAACAAACTGTACTGAACATACAATCTATCATTTTTACCATTGAGCTACTTGATGCTAAAGTAGCAGTTCTTGAGATCAAGCGGTGACTGTACCATATTTGTTTGACAGGTGTGTACAGCTGCTGTTGGTTTAACTGGGGACATTTGTAGAGCTCTTGGAACCAAAGTTTTTCCCTATTGTGATGATATAATGACAATGCTATTAGAAAATTTAGGGGTAAGTGGATATATTTTTACTTAATAGGTTATCAGTAACACCTAATGCTGGAGTATGTTAACCTTCTAAGCCTTTACACATGGCTTGATCATTTGATGATGCCTAGAATGTTGAAGCCATACTTACTAGAATTTACTAATTGTATTTTCACAAAATTTGACAGGCCTTTAGCAAAAATAACAAGTCTGTTATACATGGAAACTAGAAATCTTAATACAAGTATTCGTACTAAAGATGCTTCTTTGAATTTCCAGAGCTTTTACTGAGTCTGTCTGAGTGCAAGGTGATTTTCATGCTAAGAATGAAAATATTCTTTTGTTTTACAGTTTTAATATTTAACTCGCACAACCTATCAAACCTTCTAAATGAATATCAGTTTTTTGGGTAAAACTTTCTTTTATTTTATCTGTAATTTTTTCTTCTCCGACACTAATTGTAGCTAAAATTACTAATGTGCATTCAAATGAAAAGTTAAAATTATGAAATAAAATAAACCTTCTTCTTCTTTGAATGCATCATTTGTTGCCACATCTTCAATTAATAATATCACCTTTCACATCTGTTTTGTTTTAGTTTTATTGCCTAGTTTGTACAACATAAACAGTTTATTCATCTGTGAAAGGCAGTACAGGAGGAAAATATTAACAGAAAATATTGTAATTTGGACTTGTCATTATTTATAGCTTGTGTTTATGTTAATTAGACACTAGAGAAGCTATACTGTTGAAGTTATATAAACTAAAGGAAGGTGAATTGCGAGTGCACATATGTTCAAGTCCATCGACAATCATTGGTAATAAAATTGTTTAATTAAAGTTTTGGCGTAATTCTGTAAAATGTTGTGATGAACAATCAACCTATGTTGTCCACAGAGAAATAAAATAATGTAATGTAAGTATAATTTTTACGACATGATAATCTTAAAGATTTGCTTATTATTAAAATCTTTCATCTAATGATGAGTAGAAATACCCAATGATTTGTTGGGTGTATTTTCAGCTTTTACATTGTAATTGGAAAGAAGTGAAAACATTTTTATTGAAAGAATATTAATGTAATTTCTTCTATTACAATTTCATGTTCATTCTTAATGAATAGTAGGAACCTCTCAGTTTATTAGAGACAAAGACATAGGAAATATTGCAATTGAGACTCAGTTGTTCATTTACTTAGAAAATATGCATGTATTTATATTTTAATCATGATTGGTCTTTGATTGCATTTAACCTTATCACCACAGATATCCTTTACTACGCAAGAAACAAGGTTTTTGTGTCTTGCATTCAAAATTTTATTAAACTACTTTTTCTTTATGTTATACCAATTAGTATAGCATAAGTCTTAGCTATTAATCCGTATTTTAATAGTATATAAGTTTTAAGTTCTTTATTTTATAATGCAGTATTTGAAAAAAATCCTGAATTTTCCCTTTTCTCAAGGTATCTTCTCTGTTTGATCCACCACTTCTCCAGTAACTACAAAATTAAACTTGAATTACTCACTATAAAATCGTCATTTCCCAGACAAACCATAATTTTTATAGCCTTCAATTTTGTTTGGTTAGAGAGCTATCAAATAGAAAATAAGACCTCTCCTGTCACATCATCTCTTTCAGCATTTGTTAATAGTTCTCTCTCTTATGTTTAATTATATATTACCTATAACCAACAGAAAGCAAAGGTTTCATCTATCAAATGAAGTATTTTATAACATTATATCTTGAACAGATAAGTGTCAAGTTCACTTATAATACACAGTTCATTCACATGGGAAAGTTAATGACTAGATTGGATGAATTTGTAACGGCTCTTGTCGCAGGGTTAGAAAGCCATAAAAATTTTGAAAGCTAGGGGAAATTGTCTACTTTTTACATGTTATTAGTTTTATATTTTTTGCTACATTATTTAATTAAATAAAAATTATTTAGTACATTACTACAATTAGTATAAAAGAAAGTAGGGTTAAATGTCATCGACATGAAGATTGGGTAAGTATCTTATTTCTTGTTTTTCATGTTTGTTCTTTATTTATTATTATAAAAGTAATTAAAATGTAAAAATAGGGCTCTTTTTTAGGTTAGTTAAGGTTAGATTAGGTAAAATAATAATAATATAATTAAAATATTTTACGAGGCATACATGCGAGCAGCTCGGAGTAGCTTGTGAGTAATGTAATTCAATAGTGTAATATGAGCTGCATGTTCTTCAAGTGATTTACAACTTATAATAGCACAAATAGTAGTTAGACACAGTTCAAAGGGCAATAAAACAATAAAATTTACTTATAAATAGGCATATACTGTCACAAGTAGTTTGGAGTAGTTTGTGGGTAATGTAATTCGATAGTATAATGCGAGCTGCACAGTCCACAAGAGATTTACAGCTTATAATGGCACAAATAGTAGTTAGATACTCTTCAAAGGGCAATAAAACAAAAAATTTACATATAAATAGATGTATACTGTCACAAGTTTAAAGCTACTTGGGATAAACAAATTTTGTTTAACACTACATTTGAAGTTAATCTAGAAAGAAAAAGAGGTTAATTTAGATTTTC